AAAAAATGACAAAATCATAGAATTTGCAGGGAAATGGATGGCATTAGAGCAGATTATGCTAAGTGAAGCTAGCCAATCCCTAAAAAACAAATGCCAAATGTCTTCTTTGATATAAGGAGAGTAACTAAGAACAGAGTAGGGACGAAGAGCATGAGAAGAAGATTAACATTAAACAGGGATGAGAGGTGGGAGGGAAAGGGAGAGAGAAGGGAAATTGCATGGAAATGGAAGGAGACCCTCAGGGTTATACAAAAGTACATACAAGAGGAAGTGAGGGGAAAGGGAAAAATAATACAAGGGGGAGAAATGAATGACAGTAGAGGGGGTAGAGAGAGAAGAGGGGAGGGGAGGGGAGGGGGGATAGTAGAGGATAGGAAAGGCAGCAGAATACAACAGACACTAGTATGGCAATATGTAAATCAATGGATGTGAAACTGATGTGATTCTGCAATCTGTATACGGGGTAAAAATGGGAGTTCATAACTCACTTGAATCAAAGTGTGAAATATGATATATCAAGAACTATGTAATGTTTTGAACAACCAACAATAAAAATTAAAAAAATAATTTAAAAAAATTTAAAAAAGAAAATCTAGCACATGCCCCAACTTTCTAAAAAATGACTGGCATGGGGGAAGAGGAAGACTTTGAGTCTGCTGTGACTCTGAATTCCTACTGAATTCTCCATTGGCTGGCGAGTGTAGACTCACTCACTCTATGCCCATCTCTTCTCCCAACACACCATGGGAGGGGTCTCAGTTTCTCAGTTCCTTGCTTCCTTCACCCCCTGCCTTCCCCACCATGTCCAGCAGGGGGAGGCCTCACCTCTTGCTATCCATCAATGCATGGTCCTAAATTTGGGACAAAGAAATCATCTTACCTAAAAGAACACTGCCATTGTCCTAGGACAACCAGCTAGAAATTCATCCAGCTTTTAAAAGAACATTCCTCCTCTTCCTTAAGTCAAATGTTTGTATTCTGTGGAAAGTTCTAGCATACCAACTCTTTCTCCCAATAGCAGAAATATGGTATTTTGTGGGTACATGCTTAATTGGTTATGTATACTCCTTCCCAACTCTACCCCACACCACCCTCCAGCTTAGAAAAGTTAAGCTCTGCATGCTAAACAAGAGCAACATACACAAGTCGTTCTTTCCCAACAAACCAGTAGGTTAGTTACAAATACAGGCATATAACTAACAGCAGAGAAAAGAGGTGGCATTTACTGAACACCTACTGTATGGTGGTTGTTTTACATATTTTATTTTTCATAATGTGGAATTATGATCAATAAACTCAAAATGAGAATCTAAGGAACATGACTAAGTTCAAAAAGCCAGTAAGAGGCAGGGGATTTGAGTCCACAATGGTGGACTCCGCCTTCTTAATTCTTAAATTAGTTCCAACACTGATCTGTACTCCTTCTCCTCAACCCCACTCTCTGTGGAGCAGATGTCCAAGTGGGAGGCCCAGACTGGACTTCCAGGACTTGGAGATGGGTTAAGGCTGCAGAGACTCATGGCTCAGTGTCCTAAAATGAAGAAGACTGAAAGCTGGAGAAAGACTTCACACCGGAAGGGAAAAATGGAAAATGGAGTTGGAGACTTCACAACAATATGGTGGCCAGGACCTTCCTACCAGGGCGAGAAGGCTCAACTTGCAGGACTAGGATGTGAACTTGGAATGGAGCTTGGAGGTGCTCTCACAGCTCCTTGTATTCCAGTCCTTTAGTAGAATTTTTAAAAATCTACATTCACTGCTGAAACTGAGAAAACTTGAATGGATAAGATAATACAAACTCCTGGATTCTTACCCCATAGTTAACCTCTTGAAATTATTTGAACAACTATTTCTTTATGAATATTTACATGTAAATACATAGTTAATAGAAAGTAGGCTATAACTTACCTATTGTTCAAATTTATCTACTAGAGTTGGAAAATCATTCTTTTAAGTGTTCAATTATAGACAAAATGTTATCTGTGGTATTTTCTTATAGTTGCTTAAATCTATGATAAATTTATTATGTTTTTTAGTTGTAGATGGAAACAGTACTTTATTCTATGTATTCATCTTGTATGGTGCTGAGGATCGAAACCAGTGCCTCACACATGCAAAGCAAGTGCTCTACCACTGAGCCATAACCCCAGCCACGATAAATTTATAATTATAACCTCCTTTATAGTTATTTTATTATATCTTCTCCCATTTTTCTTGTGCAATCTTGACAGGGGATATCTACTTTGTTATTTTTTTCAAAAACAAGTTCTTGGTTTTCATGTCTTCTCTTTTTTCTCTTTTCTGGTTGTTAATTTCTTTATATGCTCATTATTTCTTTTCTTCTTGGATTTTCTTTAGGTTTATGTTCTTGTTCTTCTTCATTCTTGAATAAGTGTTTCTCACACATGCATTTATGGCTACAACTTTTCCCTTCAGTACAACTTAAGCAGCCCACCACAAATATTAAATTTTCCTCTTCCCCAAATATTAAATTGCTTCCTTTCAAATATGGATGAGTTCTCCTTGAATTCATCAATGAATCTGTAAAATCTGTTGTAAAATTTCCAAATGAATACAGTTATTTTTGTTACATTAACTTTAAGTTTCAGTGCATTTAGAGAAAATAATGTTTGATAATTTGACTGGTATTTTTTGAGACTTGCTTTATGGCCTAGTACCTAGTCAATTTTTTTTAATGTTCCACGTGTGATTGAAGATTGATTTTTCTGGAAAAAATTTGCTAGTTATCTGATGAAGTTTTGTTGTTGTTGTTGTTTTAATGTGCACAATTTACAGTCTAGCAATTTATTTATGGGTGTGGCTGCCATCTTGGATCATGGCTGACAAATGGAGCCACGGTGAGTTGCAATGCTTCTTAATATATTATGGATTAAGAAATGAATGAATTTCATGAATTAAGAAAAGAATGGATTGAATGTTTAATTTATACTGAGGGAAAAAATTTTAAGTCAACAAATGAAGCAAGAAATATCAAATATATCTCAAACTCAGCTTGAATATACAAAAAAAGGATGTAACTTTTAAATTTCCTTATTATAAAATCAATGCAGTGATGATTACAACTCATCTCGTGGTTGGGAAAGGAAGGGGAAGGGAGAGAGTTGCACCTCTGAATTTATGGTGCCTTGATCACGTCTGGTTTAAACCATCTGTTCCTAGTGAGTAGTTAGAATTCAATTCCCTAAAAGGACTATTTCTCACCTCCCTCCATTTCTTCTCAAAGTAGAACAGAGTATGGAGATACCTGAGTGTACTCAAGACAATAAGCAAAGGGGTGGCCATTCTGGGTGGTGGTCTTCTCTGCTGGACTCTGCCATTGGGAGTCTTGTCGGGCCTCACTTGGCATAAATGACATACACTGCTAACCATTTGACCTGACCAAGGCCACTGGTCAACAGGCTTCCTCCTCAATAGTTTCCACATCCACTCGAGGAAACCTCTGGTCCCCATGCAAGCCATGTACTGCTCATAGGGAATGAAGAGCTGTATCTTGGGGCCACTGGCCTAGACCTCATCCAGCCACACTGTGCCCTCACTCATAGGCCATGCCAGATGGGGCTGAGGACAGGCCTCCCCCCAGGGGCTTGCAGCCCAGC